GAGAGAGAGAGAGGGAGGCTGAGCAAGGTGCGTAATAGGAATCGAGGAGTCGCTCTTGGATATAAGTTTTGCTTGCTGTCGAGATATCGATTTCCGTATCGACACGACAATCCGTAATGTTACCAAGATCTTCTGTGGACTCTCGCAGAGGACAATCTTGGACGTCCATTGCGATAATCAATTATGTTTATCCCGACATAAACAATTATATCTCTGATAAATGTAAAGTCTGCAATTGTGAAAACAATGTCGGAAGCATAATTGCCTCTGTATTTCAAGTACCGGGCACTTTCTTTTTCTTTTTCGTATCTATAATATACGTATAGATGACGTATTCAAAAACGCCTCGTCACTGTCATCTTATCGCAGCCAGGTAGTCTCTAATCGAAGGTTAATCGAGCTTAAGATAAGTAGACAGTACGCCTTGTATCTTTATCCTTATCTACTCGCAAATCTCGCGAAAAAAAATTGAAAACATATTGCTGAAAGTTAAAGCTTATTCAATCAGCTGTTTCTAATGCAAACACGTACGTCTTGTATGATTTTCATATTAATATTCACGCAGATTGAAGTGAATGCTTGATGTACGAATATTAAAGTAAGATAAAAGGCAAGATTTCAAAATAGAAAGAATAAAAACGCACAATTTATAATTTCTTTTTAATCAACTTGAAAAGAATAATTAAATGATTATTAGTAAACTAAAAATCAGAAATTTATTTGAACGAATATCGAGTAATTTAATGAAGGTGATCTGAAACGAGAGTTGAACGAACTCTTTTAACCAGGGTTGAACGAGTCATCTGATTGCTCGCGATTCCTCACAGTTTACGCACTTTCCTCGGCGATAAGTCAAAAAAACAAAAGAAACGAACAGGGTCGAGACACTCTAGCTCGGAGACGTATCCCAATAGTTGGCCTAGTACCAAGTTTCATATTTTTCGCCCTCCCCCCCCCAAGTACGCAGTGGATCGTCGAACGATTGATCATCTATTGTATGATTATTAACATTCTTCCAGAAATTTTATTGATATATATATATATAAACTTTATCGCTATCGTTGAACATAGTAATATTTGGGGGTATATATGATTAGGGCGATACCTTCGGTATTTATTGGGGACACCGAGAATACTATATTGAGAGAGAAAGAGGGAGAAAGAAAAGAAAAATAGGGGAGAATAATGGAGAGAGGGGTGAAAGAAAAATATGGGATTGGTAGGATTATTATATATATAAATATATAGGATATATAAGGGAGAGAAGGGGACACAGTTAGGGGCACAGTTTTGAGGAAAAGGACGGGGGTGGGTGATAACGAAACGAAAACGAGTTAAGAGGTGTAACGATGTAATGAGTCTTTCCAGAGGAAACGAGATGAGAGGTACGGAGATATATGGGAAATGAGTCTCTTCCTTGCGTTGAATGTAAAACGAGCTGGGTGGCGAGAAAACAAGGATGAGATTAAATAATTGCACGTATGCGAGCGGAAACATGATACGCGCAAGAGAGTATAAAAAAAAAAGACCCTTTACGTTTTCTCAACTCATTACGTAAACGGTACGTTAGCAATGGATATATTATGATTACGATGATTGCTATATTCGTTGTTATTGTTCCTCGGTTGTATGCGGAGACGTTTAAGAGTGATCCATTTGTACAATCATTGAGTCATTAAAATATGATTATTCATTATGGAAGCCCCATCGTGTTTCGCTTTCTTTATTCCCCTATTATCTCCGTTATTTACGATAGACATTATGAATGTACTCCATTTTGTATCAATGAAATTATCATGTCAACTAATAATTAATTGTCAACGAATTTTATTTATTGCAATTTGTAGCAACTGCACAAGAATATTATAATTAGCTGTGCTAATTATGATAATTTGATTAATCTTGCTGAAGAAAGATTTCTTTAATTACTTTAATTATTAAAAATTGAATTTAAGTTAAATATGATACTGCTTTTTATAATTAAAAATATACAAGTTAATTGGTTTTGACTGATAAAAAATTTTCACAGCTTTTGCAGATATCAATATTTTATATTTTATTTCTTGAGACAAATTATATTATATGGTATGTGCAATATAAATACAAAAAGCTTTATCACATTGTTGAATGGAAGACAAGATAACTGCGCAGGTGTTCGATAACTGATTGAGTCGTGAAGTTAATAAATACGCAGGTGAGTAAACTAAATAGTTAAGATCTGTCTATATACTATAAGTGGCTCTTGAATTTATTTAAATTGAAAAGAAAATTTATTCATTTATTTAAGAAATTTATAAAAGAAAAATATAATAATCTTTTTCGTAGAAAGTATTTTAAAAATAAAATAGGATAGAGGATCAAATGTTGCAGTAGCGACAATTCATATGTATTCCTCAAATAAAAAAAGGAAACGACGTTATCAATCACTCTTCTATCGATGCCTATCACACCTAATTTAATCTTGACTGAAAAGATCTCAGTGTCCATCGAATCGGCTATACTCCGGTTGATAAGATGGCTCTTTGAATTCTTTTCGTGATAAGCCACCGCGACATCAGATGGCCCGATAAATGCGATTTGATATGGAGATGTACACTGGTCATTCGAAACAGTTGTTCATTCGATCTGGAAAAAAGAATAATAACTGGCGAGCTTAAAAAATCGTCACGTGACTCGTGCGTGCTTCATTTCTCGGTCAAAGACCCGTCGAGTTATCTAAATATCTCGAAACTGCCTCAATCGCACGTAAAATCGCGAAATGAAATAAAACAAAAAATCGGCTAAGCAAAAGACGAAGCTAACAAAATCTTCATACGGATTACGTTACAGTGATCATCACAAAATTACTCGGAAAGTGTTACGGTGCACGCACGTCACTGTTTAATGTGTTCGACGAAAACGATGAGCGTGTCGTCACCATTCCAAGTTAGATTCCAATGAGATCGTGAGAACAAAGAAATTTCGACTATTCGTGATGCTAAAATAGATAATGCGCGATCGAGAGCGTTTAACACGTCGAAAGATTTATCGCGCGGAAACAAATGAACGCGAGATGAGAGTTCGAGTTCGAGGAAAGTGCATCGTCGAGGGATGATATTTATCACGTGTCCGACTTGTGATTAATTTGTCCGTAATAATAGCGGCGTTCCAAAGCCGCGAGTTTAATTCCCGCCGCCTCGCGTCACGGGACGTCGATCGCTGTTGAACTTCGAGCGATTTTTGGATGGACTCAAATCTCGATGAATTTCTTGATCACAGTATTTTTTTAATATCGCGATATGAAACAACCGGGAGTGTTCAGCCTCCTGCTCGCGCTGTGTTGCGTCTCGATCGCGGCGGACGAGCGGTTTTGTGCGTGGTACGGTGAGTGCGGAAGAACGATTTTTTATCCGCGGACTTGCGTGGCAAAAAATATCACCGCCCAGCCAGTCAATGACGAGAAGGCCGAAGCTCTTCTGAAGAAAAGATGTCCGCACTTCTTTGAAAATAATAGTTCGTATCTCAAAAATTATCTTTGCAAGGCTGATTTCCCAATCGCGCGTCTGCCTTAAAAAAATTAAAAAAAAAATTAGTCTTCAATCAAAACGAACATACTGATATATAAACGAAAGTATTATAATCTTCTTAAAAATTTTAATCTTGATTTAATTGAATTTGTATCGATGCAAGTATTACTTTCGCTCAACTCAAGATTAAAAATCATCTATATAAAGATTATAACACTTATGCTTATATATGTGAAAATATCTAATATTATTTTTATAAAATACAAATTCAATCAAAATTAAGATCAAAATTCTAAGAAGATAATAATTTTTTTCTAAGAAGATAATAATATTGTTGTTATTATATATGAAAATATATAGTCTTGATTTAAGACTGATTTTTTTCTATGTAATTGGATCATTTGACACTTCGCAGAATTGCCGAAAACATGCTGCAACGCCGATCAGATTATCACGATGGACGACAGTATGAACAAGGCTGAAAGTATATTTGGCAGGTGTCCGACCTGCGTAAGAAATATGTTTCGAGTAATCTGCGAATTTACTTGCAGTCCCGAGCAGAGTCGTTTCGTGAGAGTGACCAATTCTTCCATAGAGAACGGCCTTGAGTACGTCGTTGAATCCGAGGTGATCCCCGAAAATGCATTCTGGTTCCTGTAAAAATCTTCTAGTTTTTATTAAAAAATTTTTTATTTAGAATTTAAATTCTTTTAAATGTCTAATTATTTATATCTGTCGCTGATTTATATTTGTTATTCTATCCAGTTAATTTTTCTTGAAAAGATGAAGTCAAATGTAAAAAATTAATAGGAAAGACTTAAAAAACCATATAAACGAATAATTATGAGTTTCTAAAAGTCAAATAATGAAATAGCGTAACAGAAATAAAAATGTTTAATTGACTTATGATTTGCGATCTAGAAATAATAAAATAACATAAAGAAATAAAAATGTACGATTAACATATAATTTGCGATCGCAAAATTTAAGAGTTCGTACTTATATTTAGGTACACTTGACGGAGGAATACATAAATGCGACGTACAATTCCTGTAAGAATGTTGTTAATCCTACCAGTGGAAATTTGGGCATGGACCTGGCTTGCGGTCCGCACGGGGCTAGCCGATGCTCACCGAAATTGTAAGCAAACTATCAAAGCAATTGCAACAAAATATAGTTAAATAATAAATATAATTAAATAAATTGTAATTAATTACTAAAATATAATATATAATTAAATAATTACATAAGTAAAATATAATTAACTCTAAAAATAAACAAGACCTCTTCTTCGGTTACCATTGGATTTCGATGTTTAATAAAATAATTATATAATTTTTAAAGATGGTACGAATTCATGGGCGATCCGGAATCAAACCCCTTCACACCCTTCCAGATGACATATGTTTACGACATGACTAATGAATGGGGCGAAGAGCCTTGGAATGCGACAGCTAAAAATTGTAGTGAGCCTTACGACGTACGTGCAAGAAAAATAAATACTTTTCGCACTTATTCCTCGCATAAAAAAACTTTGGACAATTTGGAATTTGTTTATTTAGCTTAAACATCTTACAATTAGGTCTGGCATTTTTCATATCTGTTATTAGGACTTGTCCAAAGCCTGCAGCTGCGTCGACTGTCCTACCGCTTGCCCCTTCACGAAATTAAAAATTAATTCACAGAAGATGTTCACGATCGGCAAACTTAATGGTTACGGTGTTATCGCGGCTATACTTGTCGTTGTAATCACGATCATTATAACCGCGATCATAACCGCTTCATACACCTTGTACAAGAACAAAAAAAGTATGAAGAAAATTTTTAATCAATTCTGGATTTATTAGAATTTATTAGAATTCCTTTATTTGAAGTTATTCTCATGCATACTATTTTCCTAAATATTTCTGCATTTCTAGGTGCATTTCTTTCTAAACATTTCTGGATTTCTTTTAAAATGTTATTGAAAAAAATAGACGGTTACAGGCAAAGCTACCAAAAAATCTTCGAAATAGCCTTCGCTGTATGGGGAAAAGGTAATTATATTTTTTTATTAATATTAGATGCATAAATTAATTCAGTTCCTTTAAAAAAGTAAACTAAAGTTATAAAAAAGTAAAGATTTTGATTAGTTTGTATTATTTAATCCATAAATGAAATTTGAATTTTATAAAAGAAAACATTACTTTACACGTCTAATATAATTCTCTTAAAAAAATTATTTTTATTATGTATGCGTATGTGTGTTTAAAATTTGTTGACAGCATGTGTTTATATATAGATATTACAATTTTATTAAATTGTATTATACATTTTTTTTGCAAAATCAAATAAACTAAAATTATTTTCAAAATAAAGAATTATTATTTTTGATAGCATTAAATAATATTATTTTCCTGCCATGCTATTGCACACATATAAAAGATTGTTTCTCACATCGAAAATGTAAACATAAAAAATAAACATAAAAAAACAAATTTGAAGCTGTAAATAATATTAATAATTATTAATATTTAACAGCGTTCGCCAAATATCCCATTATTACTTTGTTCACAATCTCGTATGTCGTTCTTGGTCTGAGTTACGGGATTATGTTCCTTTCGGTGACCGTAAACCCCATAGAAATATGGGCAGCGCCAAATAGTAGATCAAGGATAGAAAAAGATTTTTATGATAATCGATTCCAGCCATTTTATCGGACTGAACAGATCTATATAAAATCTGTTGGACTTAGCAAGGTAAGCCTTTTATTGTGATAAATAATAATATAATTAATATAAATATAATTAATATAAATTCAGCCTATGGATAGTCTCGACATCTTATACGGATAATGCTCGTAATATTTAAAATTAATATTTCTTCGATATTAAAGATTTTTATTATCCTTTATATTATATTCTTTAAATTTAAAAATTATATTTTTAAATTTAAAATTATTATATTCTTAAATTTAAAAATATTTGACTTTTTTAATATCAAGATAAATCTTTTCGCGATAGATAAGTCACAATACTTCAAACGGAGTTTTAGAGTTTGGGCCAGTGTTTGACAATGATTTCTTGCTAGCCGTATATGACCTGCAACAGCAGATTCTTCAAGTATGTTATTACAATTAAGGAACTCCTTTAGAATGCGATGTACAGATTTAAGAATCTAGCTAATATTTTTGACATTCGTAGATAGGTCAAGAAACTGGCGAAGGATTGGAAAAGATTTGCTATGCTCCAGTACAAAGCGAATTCACTGGGCCAGTTACTCTCAATTTGTGTACTGTGCAAAGTGTATGGGGATATTTTCAAAATGACATTAAAAAGTTTAACGAAACAGAGATTATAAAGGGATATAAAACTAATTATCTGGATCGTCTGTACAAATGTATGCAGTGAGTAATAATCGATTTAAATTTCTTTATTTGTTCGATGCAGTAATAATATTCAATAAAAATGATTTTCCACAGAATTTTCTTATTTATAATCTACTATCTAATTATTCTTAATTTAATTAAAGGGAATAATCTTACAATTAAAGAAAAATAAGTGCAAAAGTGTCAAGCAAATTTAAATAATAATTTTTATTGAATCTTCAAAAATATATTTATATATTATATTTTTATATATTATATTTTGCATTCAATTAAAATTATTTTAAAAAATTTTATTTTGATTTTTATCTATACCATATATGGCTCTAAATTGCTTTTCAGAAATGCTTTTCATCCAGATTGTCTTGCACCATATAAAGGACCCATAATACCTGCCATAGCAATTGGAGGTTTTCTGAGGGAAAATGAGTTTCAATATGATTCCTCAGATTACATTAAAGCGACAGGATTAATTTTAACATTTCTGGTGAGAAATTCGCTCAATGAGACGGAACTTGTGCCAATCTACAAGTGGGAACAACGGTATGTAAAAATTAAGAATGAAAAATAAAATATGATATACATATTGAATGACATAAAACATTAATAATTATCATAAAATAAACATGTTAAACCGTGCGATTATTATAAATTTTAGTTTCCTCGACTTTATGGAAAAGTGGAATCAAAATGATCGACCGGTCTTCATGGATGTCGCGTGGAGTACAGAAAAATCAATACAAGATGAGCTAGATAGAACCTCGAAAGCGGAAATGATAACGGTGGTTATCAGTTATCTTCTCATGTTTGTTTACGTCGCTTTTGCTCTCGGAAAAATTAAGGCTTCTATTGTTGGCTGCTTTGTAAGTTTTATTATCGCCGTTGATATATCGAAAAAATTGTTAGAATATATATATATATATATATATATATATATAATAAATTTAAATATTTTAAATGTGATTTTTCAATTTAAGAGAGAAAGCAGAATCGTATTGAGCATCGGTGGAATCATCATAGTTATAGCATCGGTAGCTTGTTCTCTTGGCATTTTCGGTTATATTGGCGTGCCAACTACTCTACTCACGATCGAGGTATTCTAATTTAAAGATTAGTATATAAGATTGATATATAATTTCCTAAATTAATAAAGAAGAATAAAAAGAAGTCAAATGGAATGATAATTTATTACAATTAAATTTGTACAATATTAAATTTAATTTTAATAAATTGTCATTGCATTTGGTCTATTTTTGTTTTTCTTATTGCAAATGTGAATCATGTCTTATTTATTTCCTTAAATTCAAAATATTTATATTATTTTATATAAATCTCTCAAGTATATAAAATTGAAAAAATTTGATTATAATAAAATTTAAATTGCAATTGTGTAAAATATTAAATTTAAATAAATAAAAAGAAGTTGTCAAAAAATTAAACGCACATTGATCAGTATTTCATGAATCAATTTTAAATATATTTAAAAAATATTTATAAACGAATAATAATTTAATGGTAAATTATTTTATTCAGGTAATTCCTTTCTTAGTGTTGGCTGTCGGAGTTGACAATATTTTCATCTTGGTGCAAAATCATCAGAGAAATCCTCGGAATAATGATGAAACGATTCCGGAGCACATTGGTCGAGTTCTAGCTGCAGTTGGACCCTCGATGTTGCTTACTAGCACATCCGAATGTTTTTGCTTTCTTATTGGTACGATAAAAAAATATTGATAAATTAATTAATTTTAAAAAGTATAGCAAGAAAATCTTTCTTTTTTCTGATTATAATTACAACATAAAAAATAAAAACTTTAGGAGCATTTTCTGCAATGCCAGCGGTGAACACCTTCGCAATGTACGCTTCAGTGTCAATCTTAATTAATTTTCTCCTTCAAATAACGGCTTTCGTTGCTTTATTGACCCTGGATTCTCGGAGAGCTGAGGTAAGTTACATGAATTTTTAATATCCATTTCTGAAAAAGGCACGTTAAGTCAATACTCGAATGTATCGAAGTTATTGTTATCGTTTTTCCGTGATATCGATTGGTTCTCATTGCGCTTATTTATATATTTTATATTTTTATTATTATTAATTATATATTTTTTATTATGCAATACGATTCCTCTAATTATTTTGGATAAAAAAGTATTAAGGTACAAATGTCAAAAAATCAATAGTTCATGAGATATTTTATATTTTATTCTGGCATATTCAGACACCTTGTATATACACATGATACGTGTTATGATAAGAATATATATATTTAACATAAACATTTGCGGAATGCAAAATGAAGAAGATTGGTCTTTGTCCCATGTCTCTACGTCTATTTTTTGAGAAGTTATAGACTTTTAAAAATCGGCATGTGCGCCCCATGAAAAAAACGATAAAAAAACTCCCCTCGCAGTTTTTGCTTAGATGTTTACACTTTCTTGCCCTCCCAAAAAAGATGTGAAAACACGTGTAGTACAAACCCTTTGAAATGCGATATGCCGCCGACGTGGATGTACACGTGCGCCATCTATTGGATGGATTGATATCGATTGTGACTGCGATCGGTATTGTCAATATCTTCTTAATAGTGTAACAATATTATACAATTTTTGTTCTATCTGTTAAAAAAGGTAAATAGACGCGCGTCTGTAGTGTCTAGTAAATGAAAATTTTATATGAGAAAAATAATGTTTTTAATAATAATTAATAACAAGCGCAAATTATTGGAATATTTTCCAATCATTTTTATTATTAAAATTTTAACTTCTATAAGAATTTTATATATTTAGAAAGAAAAACAAAACATTAAAATTTGAATTTTATAGAACATATTTAAATTTTATAGAACTTTTATCTTTAATCCTCATTCACGGCCCTTTTTTTTTCTTCTTTTGTACTTATTTGCACGTTTTGCAAATATGAGCTACCTTATTTATTTTAAATGTCTCTTTAACTGCAATTAATATCTCAACTCGAACGAGACTCTCAAAGTTTGATCTGTGCCATTTTTGAAGGAAACGATTGTTATTTTGTAGAGCGATCGTCTTGACTTCTTCTGCTGCATTTCATCCAAAGATAATTCGATCAACGAGCGCAATGGTATCGTTCATACAATTTTTGAACGTACCTACACACCGTTTCTAATGAAAACGCCAGTTAGAATTGTCGTGATAACGATTTTCGTCGCCGCTCTCGCTACTCATATCATCGTCTTGCCGCAAATCGAAGTTGGATTGGATCAGAAGCTCTCGATGCCCGAAGATTCTTACGTTCTCAAATACTTCAAGGTAAAGAATAAAAAAAAAGAAGAATTGAAAGAAAAGAAATGGAAGTCATGAAATTGTAATTATTAAAATTGTATACTTATCCAAGAGTTTAAAAATCGAAATGGCAAATGAGAAATCTTTCATCTTTCTTTAAAATTAAAGGGAAAACATCTTATGTTATTGATGCAAATATCGTATCTTACGTTACGTAACTTCAATAAGCATTATATATTTTTAGTATATGGAAGATCTCTTATCGATGGGTCCACCTGTATACTTTGTGCTGACCGAAGGCCTGGATTATAGCAAGAAGGAAGTACAGAATATTATATGCGGCGGCCAAGGATGCAATACGGATTCTTTGTACACGCAGATATATTCGGCTGCGAAACAATCCAATATGTTTGTATTCCTCGCGAGTTTTAGAAGTCTTGGAAAAATGTTGCAAACTCCCATAAATAAAGCTAAGAAAATAATATTAATACAACTTTTTTCTACTTCGTGCTTTAACGAGTATAATAATTTGTTATACTATTTTTACGTGCTTTTTATGACTGAAACTAATCACTATTGATCACTATGACGTTTTTATTTTCCTGAAACTTTTTTAATTATTTCAATTATGGAAAATAATTTCTCATTCTCTATTATATGTACAATACAGAATGTTATATGTACAATACTTAATTAATTAATAATTGTTCCAGATCCTATTTGTCTAAAGCAGCTTCCTCTTGGATAGATGATTATCTCGATTGGTCGATGATTAGTGGCTGTTGTAGATATTTCGAAAACAATCAATCGTTTTGTCCGCATAATAATGGTATGCATCGATATTTTCTAAAATGATTATATTATTAAAATGTCCATTTCTATTAATTTTAATCTCGGTTTAATTTCTAATTCTTAATATTAAAAAAAAGATGAAGTAAATTAAAATTAAATTAATTTTTTTAAATTAAATTAATTTACATTAACTTAGAAATAAACATTAATCTTTAAATTTAGCTACAATTTTTTTTTCTTATTAACTTTGTAATTTGATTTGAATTAATTAAATTTATCTTGATAATAATAAATTAATTTATAGGATGGTGTAGTAAATGTGAGATTACTATAGACCAGGATATTTCTCGTCCGGATGCAAAAAGTTTTAGGAAATATATTCCTTATTTCGTAAAGGATGTTCCGGATGACAAATGTGCCAAAGCTGGTAGAGCCTCTTATTATGATGTAAGTCACTTGTTATCAAATGCACTATTGTTTTTTAATAAGTTAATATAGTACAATATTTAAATGAAGAATTTTTATCAAAAACAAACTTCTCTCAATTTCTTAGAATCAAAATGCAGCAGCAAAAATTAAAATAAAATTTAAATTTTTCTTTAACAATAAAATCCTGATAATTAAAATTTTCGTTTGAACAGGCAATAAACTATTACTACGACGAGTTTGGATTGAGCAATGTGAGCGATTCATATTTCATGGGTTATCATACGCCCTTAAAAAAATCATCTGATTGGTATGAAGCATTGCAAGCTGCCAGGATAATATCAGAAAAAATTACGAATATGATTAACAATGCCAAAGTGTCTAATAAAGAAGTTTACGTATTTCCATACAGGTAATAAGATTCAATTGGTTATAATTAAAAAAATTATATAACAAATATATATAATCTTAAAAGAACAGTTGTCTTACAGAATGAATTTCTATAAATTTTTCAAAACATTTTTATTTTTCTTCACTATTGTGTATTATATTATTTACCGAATAAATTTTTTGTGTTTTAGTGTCTTTTATGTGTTCTACGAGCAATATTTAACCATCTGGCAGGAAACCTTGTCATCGATAAGTTTATCCCTTGCTGTGATCTTCGTAGTAACGCTATTTCTGACAGGATTGTCATTATTCTCTGCAGTGATAGTCGTTCTTACTGTTTTGATGATAATAATCAATCTGGCCGGCCTAATGTATTGGTGGAACATAAGCTTGAACGCAGTTTCTCTCGTAAATTTAGTCATGGTTCGTATTAAACTATTAAAATTTATTAATTCAGCTCTAACCACATAATAATTGCTACTATTAGTTTAATAATATTGTCATATATGTATTTATATTTATTTCTATTGTAATAATGAAAAATTTATTATCATCAAATCATATTCTCTATACAGAATATTATTTCTTAAAATTTATCAATAAATGGTTATAATAAATTTATTATGCTATTATGCGCTGAATTATGGATTTTATAGGCAGCTGGTATCTCCGTAGAATTTTGCAGCCATATAGTGCATTCATATATCACATCTGCAGCAGTGACAAGGATCAAAAAAGCATCGGAAGCTCTTTCTCTAATGGGAAGTTCTGTAAGTTTAATTAAATATCGCGAAACACAAAACGTGATTTCTTATTTCAGATATCTTATTAACATTTAAAAAAACTAAACTAATTAAATTAACTGAATTTATTCACCTTCGCTATTTTGCAGGTATTCTCTGGGATTACTCTGACTAAATTTGTGGGAATCGTGGTGTTGGCGTTTGCGAAGTCGCAGATCTTTCGAGTCTTTTATTTCAGAATGTATTTAGGAATTGTTCTGTTTGGCGCAGTGCACGGTCTAATATTTCTACCAGTATTATTAAGCTTTATAGGTGAGTGACGCCTAATCGTTGAAGCTATTAATTTTATGTGGAGTAATGTAGCACAATAATATAATTGACAATTAATTACAGGACCTGTATAAAAATATTTGTTATTATATAGAACTGAAAAAACAACACAAATGAACAGCACAAATGAAACATAGTTAACTGCCACTCCATGTGACTTGTAATATATGTTTGTTTAGAAAAATTAGCAGTTTGATTAAATTATTTCATTAGGATAATGTAACTCTAAGAAATGTTAACTTCCAAATTGCATTGTATACTTTTTAATATGTATGATAATGTTTGACTGAATATATAATTGAATATATATTAATTCATGTATCACGATCATTATACAAATAATCATATATATTTAACGTGAATAAAAATGCAATTTCTCATTATGTCTTATTTATAAAAAAAAACTAATATTCTTATAAAAATTACATATATTAATACACATATCTTTTTTTTTAGTATTAGAAAAATAAAAGAAATGTATACTTAAATATAGATCTATTAATAAATAAATAAGTTAAATTTAGAATTTTATCAACATACATTAATGCAAATAATTGCTGAACATCAAAAAAGAAATTGATAATTTATTTTTTATTCATTAAGTATTAGAATTCGACAAGATTATAAAATCAAATAAAATAATTGTTTTAAAATATATTTAATATTTTACCACATTAACGATATCATGAACTATAAGTTAATATATTTGAAAAGTTTTATATAATATATATAATGAAATGAACAAAATAAAATTTAAAGGAAAGAGACTTATCTGAGATAGATTAACTTGGAATGCAATTTAATATTTATTTTACAAGAATGCGTCCATTGCGTATATTTATCTGGATTAGTTTCTTACATTCTTGTCATACATTGAGGTGAACAATTATATTTTTAAAAATAAAATTATGAGCAATATCCATTTGAAGCATAAATAAAAAAAAAAGGATGGTCAATGCTACTTCGATACTACCAGTACTATTTAATTTGCGACTACCGATGTTTTTGTAGATTTCCAACTTAACAGAATTCACCTCCACGAAGTCGTAAAACTAAGTGAAGTGTGGATTCCTTTTGAATGTTGTAATCGGAAAGAGTTCTGCCGTCTTCCAGCTGTTTGCCAGCAAAGATTAAACGCTGTTGATCAGGTGGAATGCCCTCTTTGTCCTGAATTTTGGCTTTGACGTTTTCTATGGTATCCGAAGCCTCAACTTCAAGGGTGATGGTTTTTCCTGTGAGTGTCTTGACGAAGATCTGCATTCCTCCACGAAGTCGTAAAACTAAGTGAAGTGTGGATTCTTTTTGAATGTTGTAATCGGAAAGAGTTCTGCCGTCTTCCAGTTGTTTGCCAGCAAAGATTAAACGCTGCTG